TGTTGGCAAAGGAAAGTTTAAATAAAGATCTTTTCTCTTTTTCATCTTTTCCAATGTGAACTGGTTTGAAAAGTCTGTGACTTGCAATATCCGAAATGATAGCTGTAAGTTTGTATTGGTTTGAATGAGGGTTTGTAACAGTGGTTTCCAATTATAAATTGAACAGAGAATGAAGTTTTGAAAGGGGTAATGAATACAGTTTCGTGCGAATGTGATTAATACCTAACGGCATTTGTATAAATGGCAGCAAGTCATTAGTAGAGACATCATGCAAAGTAGGTGATGTATAAGGAAGTGACATTGCCCCTAAAGGCACGAATGATGTTCACTAAAACCAAAGTTTTTGACGGAAATGCAACGAACTCGAAAGTGGTTTATCAATGTGGAAAGGGGCGATATGTCTGCCACTCCTTTTACATATTCATATACTCTCGGTCTATGACATTGTGTTTATGTCTCCTGTTACTTGTCCCAGACGCATTGCGACCAATTTTTTTAGCACAAACCGCTACATTCTTTATGTGTCTGTCCAAAGTAAGGAGCCTGTAATTCAGTGGGTACCGTTGATTCATTTCTGTTTTGTTCGTTTATTGTATTGTATTGTTAATTGGTCGGTAAGATTTTTTTTCGTTTTGATTGTTTCACATTTTGTCATGTCGGAGCCGTTTATAGCTAACTATATAGTATGATTTTTGCTCATTGTTGGAGGCACTTGCGGTGATATTTTTTGCTGACATCCACGTGTATTTGGGTCGTTGTATCATTTTCAATTAAACAATACATCTTTATTTTTATATAGATTAAATAAGGAATTATGATTGCATTATATCATCGATAAGTTGACATACTCTTGTCATATAATGATAAATTTATTTTTGTTTGACAGTTTCTTTTGACCGGCAGTAAAACACTTGCCCAAGTGTTGCGTCCGTTTGCCTGTGCGGGATCATAAATACGTATTCACGTCCGGTCAGAATAGGGACGTAAAATCCATTGCCTCGTGAAGTGAGAGTGCCATGCTCAGCACATTAAGAACTCTTGCATCAACTATGTGAAGGTCTGTGGGTAGCCTGCTGCAAGGCAAAATGTTTGTTTCTATTAAATATACCCTCATATTCCAGTGACATCCCAATTTCTCCGACATTCATGCCGGACGGCCTCTATTACCGGACCTACCTATTATAATTATTGCTAATTTGTTCTCGTCCTGAACATGCACGAAATAATTGCTACTCAGTGGACGTTGAGCAAACACCAATCAATAAATCGTCATTGATACCCAGCTACTCTCGAGTATTAATACTGTTGCAGCAATACATTATTTGAATTTATATATTATTCAGCATCAAAGTTATATCATTGGCCTATATTATTCTTTCATTTACATTCTGGTATTAAAGCATCAAAATCTGCGGATATTATGACGAATCTTACTAGATTTATTTACTACATGCAATTTAGCTTTTTAAGTGGTCAATCATAAACTTACTTCTTTCTAGCATAGTTCAAATGTACCTAGTCACTAAACACTATACAATCATAATTACAAAACTGTTATTGTATGTCTCTACACTACAATAGATAGATATATATGATGTTTGTTGTATAAACTTTACAAGGTATCTACGATCTGATGTGTTAAACAATCAAAACCTATGGCTAGCTCTTTGGATCTATCCGTGTTCTATCTATTACAGACTGAGCAAAACCTATGGCTAGCTCTTGGGATATATCCGTAATTTATATATTACAGACTAAGCAAAATCTATGGCTAGCTCTATTACAGACTAAGTAAGGGGAGGGTTGGACATTCAAACTTGTTTTACCCCGCCACATTCTGTTTGTGTCTGTCCCAAGTCAGGAGCTTGTAAGGGAGCTACCATTTGATTAATTCAGTGGTTGTTGTTTTTTGCTGTATATCATATTTGTTTTTCGTTCATTATTTGGTACATAAATCAGGCCGTTAGTTTTCTCGTTTGAATTGTTTTACATTTGTCATTTCTTGGCCTTTTATAGATGACTCTATATACGGTATAGGTTTTACTCATTGTTGAAGGCAGTAAGGTGACCTATAGTTTTTAACTTTTATGTCATTTGGTTTCTGGTGGAGAGTTGTCCCATTGGCAATTATACCACCTCTTCTTATTTTTTTTAAGCAAAAACGAATCAAAAAGTGACATTTTCATGTTGCCTATCAAATTCATTTTTGACCAGAGCCATATAGGGAAGGATCCTCCTTTTTCTTTCTGCTTTCTTTCTTTTTCACTTAATATTCTATTTATTTTTACACGCATTTAATGTGTTCTTGCACTTTTTTATATACTGTTACAATAACTGAATGTATGTATACGCTGCCCCTTTATTTTGTAACGCAACTTATATGTCTGTTTTATTTTGCTTCAGTATACATGTGTTTTCTTTCTAAAATTATAGACGAATAAATCTACTATTATTATGAAATATCTCTGAAATAAAGTTTTTAACTTAGATTGGTCTGAAAAAAATATCATGATACTTATCTTTATATTATACTTTTTCGCAAGTAATACGAATAAGTTCAGTCCTACAACTATGCCCAAGAATTTGCATCAAAATGATGTTGGACGGAAAATCAGCTTATCACCAACACCACTTAGAAAACACAAAATGTTCAAATAAATTGTCACTCCAATTATAAGTTTGTTAGTTGATGAATACCACATGTTTAGTTTTCTTGATAATTGGTGGTAATTGTTGCATGAATGAATTAACGGTAATGTGAATATTTAGTTACAAATGTAAACATGTAATACAAATGAAAAATTATAGGAAGACAAATAAAAAAAAAAATTAATGTGTAGGGAAAAGTCTGAAATGGCCTATATCTGTACTCGACTGTACTGATGTTTACTCGACCAGTCTGAATTGGTCTGAATTTTACTTGACATTACTCGACCCCAGTCTTAGTCATACTCGACCGTACTGATTTGTACTTGACCCATTCTCGACCTGTACTCGACCAATTTTTTCAGTCTAAACCATACTCGACCAAAGGTCTGAGCAATACTCGACCTGTCTGAACCATACTTGACCAAAACAACAACCTATACTTTTTTTTGATTTTAGCTGTTAAAGTCAATTTCTTTTTTTCTGACAGCCACAATAAAATAAAGATATATATAAAAACATTTTTTTACATCCTTACATGATTCTCAGATTTATCAAATAGAGATAGTTAAATTAGATTATCTTATATAATAATTTAATTATATTAATTTTAAAGTTTTTGTTAAAAAAAAGATTTTCTTTTAACTGAAAACCACACCTTTACTGAGGGTAATAAAACCTTATTAAGGTGCTTCTTGTTTGGCATGTTTTTTTTTTAAACTTCATTTTCCTAAATTCCTAAGAAAAGCTATATAGGTTTCATGGTTACATACACTAGTTATATAATTATCATTTTAATGAGGTTACAACAGCCAAAAAATCACTGAAATTGTTTAACCTTATATTAGAAATATATCTATTCTTATTATAATTTGGGATACATTATATATAATATATATATCAAAAAGGGATAAAAAAAAAATCAAACAAAATAGATAAAATTTTTCTTCTGATTAGTGGTAAAGTATAAAGTAATACCTCCTGCTTGGAGCAAACTCATTAAAAAGATCACACCTGGTCAGAGAGAATTAATTTCTAATTAACATTCATTAAAAATTGCCATATCCTGTAAAACTTAAATTGCAAGGCCTTTTGATTTCACTAGATAAGTAATACACGAGTTTAAGAAAAAAAGGGCTTTCTTTTTACCTGTAAAACACACATGTACTAAGGTAAATAAACCTTATTTAAGTGCTTCTTGTATGCCATGTCTTTAATTTTGACAAAAGTTATTTAAATTTAATTGAAATAAATTTTTTCTGCAACTTTGGAACACATTTCCTTTTTTAAATGGTTATCAAGGATTGCTATGGAAGTTCTATTATCATGAATATATTTAATTCTTGGTTTTACAAAATAAGGTGTTATTTTTTAAATTTATTAAGTTGCTTTATATACTATTCTAAATATATTTTAATAAAAAAAATGTTCTCTGAATTATTAACTAAACTCAACTGACGCCATAAATCTATACAAGGCTTAAGTAAATGGGAAATTGTCCAGTAACCATAAAATATATCTGAAACATTCAAAAATTTGAATAACATTGAAAATATTAGTCACAAATCAGTTTTGAGATTATTTGATCAGCTTGTTTTATTTTTATTTTAAAGGTGATAATATATATATATGTAAGTGTTGATAAATATGGTGTTGAATTTATATTATGTTTATTGTGAAATTTTGGTTTCAATGCCATATTGAATACATTTTAAATTTCAAATTGTTGTTCAAATTTCTAGCCAGGGGAAATAGCTGTTTAAACAGTTCCTAAATTGATGAAATACAATAGATAGATACAAACATTAGGTCTAGGTTGGTCAAGACTTAGTCGAGTATGGTTCAGACTAGGTCGAGTATGGTTCAGACTAGGTCGAGTATGGTTCAGACTAGGTCGAGCATGGTTCAGACTAGGTCGAGCATGGTTCAGACGAAAATAAAATGGTTAAGTACTGGTCGAGTAAATGTCGAGTACAAGTTCAGACTGTTAAGTATGGTTCAGACTACAGTCGAGTATTATCAAGTAAATTTCAGACCAATTCAGACTGGTCGAGTAAAAATCAGTACAGTCGAGTACAAATATAGGCCATTTCAGACTTTTACTGGTTTGTAGTGTTGTAAACACATTTTGAACAAGACAGGTGCATATTCTACTTTCCCTTTCGAAACTATTAATGGAGCTTTTAATGAACTGATTGATGTAAAAGTTTTACGAAACATGTACTTTGTCACTCTATGTTTTATGCTTTATAATATGCTGATAACATTAACTGCAGTAAAGAATTTAAAAATTGTTCACCTTATAACAAACAACGGACTGCTATTTTTAAATATCCCCTGTATGGGTACCTCTTTTAAAGGTTTTGATAGGCATTCCGGAAAATCACTCGACGTTCAAAGAAATTATCTGTATACTTGTGATCTTAAGACGCGGCTTGAACTCAAAGTAACAGACGATCAAAATCAGAAAAAATGCCTGGATCTTTAGCAGGAATTCCACCTATGGTGATCGGAGGAAGCATTATAAGCGCTGTATCGTTGATTTTTCATATTATAGGATTTTCAACCACATACTGGTATAAAGAAAAGAAAGCAGTTAGCGACATACATGTACATTTTGGATTATGGAAATCATGTGGTCCAGTATATGGAGTGGAACGATGTGTTAACATTGCAGGTATTTTTTTGATTTTTTTTTTTCAAAAGTCATTTTCCTGAACATATGGTACAGTTACTTACTTACTTAGTCCTTGCTATGTCTGATTGCACATAGGGCAATAACAAGGTTCCCCAACTCTTTTCTGTTGTTTGCTTTTATTTTCACTGTTGTCCAGGTATACCCTCTTTCCTTTATTTCACTGTTGTCCAGGTATACCCTCTTTCCTTTATTTCACTGTTGTCCAGGTATACCCTCTTTCCTTTATTTCACTGTTGTCCAGGTATACCCTCTTTCCTTTATTTCACTGTTGTCCAGGTATACCCTCTTTCCTTTATTTCACTGTTGTCCAGGTATACCCTCTTTCCTTTATTTCACTGTTGTCCAGGTATACCCTCTTTCCTTCATTTCCTTTTCTATCGTGATATACAGTAGCTATACATTTTTCAAAATTTGACCTGATGACGTTAACGTTATGTACTAGGACAAAAATAAATACGAAACATCATACCATTTTTTAAGCTTTCAACAAGTGCTAATCTCCATTTTCTCTCTTTCGATTCTATATGAATAATTGGAGTCAAGCTTAATGCAAATATACATAATATTTAGTATTAAGTAAAGATGAAAATGACGAACATTTAGACAATTGCAAAAGTTTCAAAAAGTCTCGGATAGGAATATTGATCTTCGACTTTTGAAATAAATTGTTTTTACAATACACGTAATTTCAGAATGACGTGCTTTTTGTTATATTGACAAGGTAATTTGATACTAAATTTGAATACACTGTATTTGATCGAATAATTAATCTTGGTGGCCGACTTATGTTAAATGGCAAACACATAATGGTAATATTATCTGTGCACTTAAAACGACAAATTATATATCTATTTTTATCCATGTTAACCTTGTATTTTGGAAAGGGTGGAAAAGGTGGGGGATTTTCTTAGACAATCAAGAATGAATTCAAACTATTTTATCTATAAAAAAAGGTTGCTATAATTATAGCGGTGAACAATTGTACACGACTACTACACAGGTTTGGTTAACAATGGAAAGTTTTTAAATCCTTACTTTATACCCAGAGGTGGATTTAAGGGGGTGACAGAGGGCCCTGGCCTCCCTTATGGAACTTCATTTATGGTTACTGCATAGACGTTTTACATAGAAAATGAAAGGACATTGAGTAAATGTACATGGGACAAAATCGCACACAATACATAGAAAACATAGAAAATTATCAATGAACAGGGCTTTTATTCTTGACATTATAATTATTTGGACTTTCTATTTTGCACATTTTTTTATTATTTTTATCACTGTCCCTTTGAATCCGAAAGTAAAAATCAACCAAATAACATCCTCCAGATTTGCATAGGGTCTTGTCTACAGATATACCTCGTTATCGTCTACGTCGTGCAGTTCTCAAAAATATCCTGAACAAAGAATGTGATGTGTGTAAATATCTATTTGAATGGATCAGACCTTGTCATAACCTTTTTGTCTCAAAAACTGAGCGTAAAAAGGTCATTTAAGGTCAAATAAGTCAATTCATAGATATAGGAAGATGTGGTATGAGTGCCAATGAGACAACTCTCCCTCCAAGTCAAAATTTATAAAAGTAAACCATTATAGGTCACAGTACGGCCTTCAACACGGAGCCTTGGCTCACACAGAACAGTAAGCTATAAAGGGCCCCAAAAAAATTACTAGTGTAAAACCATTCAAACGGGAAAACAAACGGTCTAATCTATTTTAAAAAACGAGAAACGAGAAACACTTATGAACCATATCAACAAACGACAACTACTGAACATCAGATTCCTGACTTAGGACAGGTGCATACATGTTTATGGCATAACAGAGACAACATAAGTCAGGTTTGTGTTGCACATGTTTTAACTTGTTTCTATGTTGTGTTTTTCAGACTGTAGTTTGTCTTTTGGCCGCTTTCCGTTTTCAGCCATAGCGTTGTCAGCTTAGTATCTTCAACTTTAGAGTTATATCCCTTTGGTTTCTTCCGCCTCATTTTATCGGTAACATTAACGTTATTTCAAAAGTCTGGAATGATATCATTATTATTTCAGGGAAATTAATGGCTATTATCATACCTACTTTTTTTCTCGCCTCTATTTAATTAACAGTTTTTTTCCCCTTTTTTTTACATATTTTATTCGGAAATATGATAAATATTGTGATAACCGGTAAGAACAGAACAATGAAAATTGGTCGAAATTCGGGGATTATTAAGAGGGTAGGCTTTAAAAACTTAAAAATGTCCCCTCGTTTAATTTGTCCTTTATTCACTCCATTGAAAGAGTAGGGCACTATGCCTCATCTGCCAAAGTCTTGTTGAAATTCACCGTTGCTTTTTATGTTCAGGGTATCTTGAATATGACGAGGTTTTGGGTATCCTTAGATACTATCGAAACACTAGCATTATTATATATTATTGTTTTTGTTACAAGTTTTCTCAACAGGAATATCCATAACTGTTAAAATGCGTACTACTAGTAAACACATTTTTCAAAGTAAGTTTGAAATGGCATGGTTATATTTATAGCCTGAATGCAAATTTATAGTTTTTGTTTAAAATTATTGAACACGTTGAAACTTCTGGGACTCTTCGATAACACTTTTAAATTTTCTATTTTATTCTGAAAAAGTTATCGTTTTATTGCTGAAAAAATTGCTGAAACAATTCATAAACCTTGAAAATTACAAATTTTTATGAAATTTTACCCTTTGAAATTTAGAAATCTTCAAACAATTTGGCTCAAGACATAAAAAAAAACAATATGAATATGTTTGGATAGAATTCATATTTTTGATCGACAAAACCTGCTACAGCTCTCTTAGCATTAGTTGAGAGTGTTCAAGTACAAATGGTATGGTGCCAATTGTTAATGTATTCATGTTAAGAAAGAAAAGCAGTACTAGTAATTTTTTTAGAAATTTAGAATCAAATATTTCATGCACCCTCCCTTTCAAAACATGCACACAAAAATAGAAATGGTCGATGCCTTTATTAAAAAATTGAGACAGCGGCGCATTAAGAGACTACAGAAAAAGTGGAACTAGCATAAGATATATTATTTAACCCTGAAACTGAAGAAATTGAAAATATTTTGCTGTTAGATATTTTAAAGACACAATAAATACACAGTCAGATGATTTGCGATTATAATATTGTTTTTGGTGAGGCCTCGGCTCTTAACTATTTTTTCTCGCAACTATGTATAAATAGAGAAAGTCGATTGATATATTATATTAACGTCAACTGTATTCAAACTAAAATAGACAGAAAATGCCAAAAAAAAAAAAACGCTCTTTTAACGGTTATAAAAAATTGCAACAACTTTTTTTTAGTTCATTCCTACAACTCTCTTGAATATATCCCAAGAATTCCCTTGTGAACATTTTACATTGCAACATATCTCGTGAATGCATTGAACTAACTCTCTTGAATATATCACAAAAATTCCCTTGTGAACATTGTACATTGCAACAGATCTCGTGAATGCATTGAGCCAACTCTCTTGAAAGCACTGCAACACCTTTTTTTAAATACCCCGCGACAACTCCCTTGATAACAGTTAACATACAAACACTCTGTTTAATGCATTGTACATGCAAATTCTTTTAATAGATATAGAAAAATGTGGTATGAGTGCCAATGAGACAACTCTCCATCCAAGTTACAATTTATAAAAGTAAACCATTATAGGTCAAGGTACGGCCTTCAACACGGGGCATTGGCTCACACTAAACAGCAAGCTATAAAAGGCCCCAACAAATTACTAGTGTAAAACCATTCAAACGGAAAAACTAAAAGTCTAATCTATATAAAAACGAGAAACGAGAAACACGTATGAACTACATAAACAGACGACAACTAATGTAATCAGATTCCTGACATAGGACAGGTGCAAACATTTGCAGAGGGATTAAACGTTTTAATGGTACCAAACCTTCTCCCTTTTCTGAAACAATTGTATAACATCACAACATAGAAAAACACACTATAAAATATCAATTGGAAGGCTTAACTCAATCAAAAACGTAAATTAGCACACAATGAACGAATAAATTTGACCTATGACACCTGAATGCAAATACACAGTTAATAAAAAATTACAAGGGATAAATAATTAAGGTCAAAAGTAAATAAACAGGTTTAAACAAAGTTAAAGTATGATATCACTGTGAAATGTCGAACAATTTTTAGAAAATCATCACTTTTGAAGAAACCTGCGTCATATTATACACAGGTAAATGAAAATAATTTTGTTATTAAGTATACTTCTTCTTCTGTGTGTATAAAATCTTCCGTTTAGGAATACCAAGAAATTTCTTTAATATCAATAAAACTAATCTAACACGTGGTACATATGCAGTCTACCATCCATGCCCGAGAAAACACATCAAAATGATGTTGAGCTTATCATCTGCATCACTTAGGAAATACCATAAATACAAATTAAACTGTCATTTCGATTGAAATTTGTAAGTGGACAGAAACCACATGTTTTGTTAACCTGAATCTGAAGTGATAACTGTTGGATATAATAATTAGTAGTAAATACACAGTAAATACACAGCACTGATCCTTAATTGTGTCTATTTAATTAATTATGTGTTTAGTTTATATAAAGAAAGATATATTTGTGTGAAGCTGAAGAAGAATATAAAAGTCATATAACAGGGAAAAAAACAACCACTTTCATGTTTGATTGAAATATTTTTTATATCATATGTACATGTAAATTATAACTAGATATTAAAATATATATTGCAACAGGAACACACAATGTAATTGAATTATTATTCATAATCTCATAAAGATATATATATATATATATATATATGGCATAAAAAAATTAACAGTGATTAGGCCATATTTTCCTTTAAATGAAAAGGTCAAAATTGTTTTAAGTCAAAATGAAAAATTGATTGATTGCGTAATTTTATGTTCCTATTGTCCAGCAACACATATTACTGTTTTTACATTTTTTTGTTTTAAATTTAACACCAGCGAATTCTATTGTCACAAGTTCCACTGTGTCAGTGATATGTTTTGGTACAGATTTAAGATTAAGCGAAATAAGATTTTGTTGGCATTTTAATTCCTGTAATAAATTCACCAATGCTTTCTGCATTCCTTTTGCTGATTGCGTAATTGAATGTGCTTATTGTCCAGCAACACATATTACATTCATATTAAGTATAAATACATCTTAATGTAAATGAACCATTGAAATAAATACCCAACCAATACTAAAAATGTTTTCAAAGATTTAGGAATCTCCTGTTGCTGACAAAAATGCAAATTATTATATTGTAATAAAAAGAAATATTGATAATTCTATGTAAAGGCAATTCCAACATGTTGTTTTAGTTTTATTCTTCTATGTAGATCCACTAAATTAAAAAAAAAGTTTCGTATCTGTAACAATTATCCTAAAAGTATATAATCACAATTTGAAGTAAATATACGGTATGGCTTTATCATTATGAAAATGAACGAACTATTCAGGAAAGGTCCTTTCTTACTATAAACAAATACAATTTATAAAATTCTAAAGGGAGCTTACATCAATAGATATAATCAATTCACCAAAGTTTCATAAGAATTGCTGAAAGCCTTTTTAGAGTTATTGTCTGAAAACTGGAAAATCCCCCCTTTTTAGCTCACCAGGGCCCGAAAGGCCGCATGTGAGCTTATGCCATCACTTGGCGTCCGTCGTCGTCCGTCGTCTGTCGTCGTAAACTATTTCAAAAATCTTCTACTCTGAAACTACTGAACCAAATACCTTCAAACCTTAAGTAAATGTTCCTTATGGTATCTAGTTTATAAATTATATCCGAAGTTTTGATCCATCGACAAACATGGCCGCCATGGCTAAAAATAGAACATAGGGGTCAAATGCAGTTTTTGGCTTATATCTCAAAAACTAAAGCTTTTAGAGCAAATTTGACACGAGGTAAAATTGTTCAATTGGTCAAGATCTATCAGCTCTGAAATGATCAGACGAATCGAACAACCCATTGTTGGGTTGCTGCCACCGAATTGGTAGTTTTAACAAAATTTTGCAGTTTTTTGTTATTATTTTGAATATTATTAGAGATATATATAAACTGTAGCAGCAATAATGTTCAGCAAAGTAAGATCTACAAAAAAAGTTATTCTGACCATAATTGTCAATTGACCCCTTAAGGAGTTATTGCCCTTTAAAGACAATTTTACACAATTTGTTCATCAAGTTTGCTAACATTTAAAAATCTTCTCCTCTGAAATACAGGTGAGCGATTCAGGCTCTTGAAAGCCTCTCGTTTAATGATTAAAACCCAATAACTCGGAAATGTAAATTCTAAAATTTATAAAATTCCAAAGGGAGCTTACATTAATAGATATCAACAATTCATCAAAGTTTCATGAGAACTGCTGAAAGCATTTTTAGGTTATTGTCCGAAAACTGGAAAATCACCCTTTGTTTATGAATAAAACCCTGTAACTTGGAAACGTAAAATCTGAAATTTATAAACATCAAAAGGGAGCTCATGTCAATAGATATAAAAAATTGACCAAAATTTCTTGCAAGTTGGTGAAGCATTCTTGAGTTATTGTCCGAAAACTGGAAAATCCCCCTTTTTTAATGATAAAACCCCATAACTCGGAAACCTAAAATCTAAAATTTATAAAAAACGAAAGGGAGCTCACGTCAATAGATATAAACAATTCACCAAAGTTTTATGCAAATTGGTGAAAGCGTTTTTGAGTTAATGTCCAACATGTTGACGACGGACGGACAGACGGACAACGGTATACCATAATATGTCCAGTAAACGGGCGTATAAAAATGTTCAAATACTACCGTGATGTTTTGATGAAAAAGTAAACCATCATTTAAGCTTTATTTGTTCTGTAGTTTCAAGACCGTTTTCACATCTTTTGCAGTACTTTGAGTGCGGTGGATATTGAAAATGGGTCATTTTGTCAAAATAAGTTAAGAATGAAAGTATCTGAATACCCAAATTAAATCTTATTACACTACATAAGTGCTAATGAAGTAAACTATTCAATTGCCAGTTAAATATATATCACATCAGTATATCTTTGACATTGTATCATTAAGATTCAATGATCATGATGATCTCAATTTACAGGGCATATATATAAAATGCAACTACAGCACCTATCAAAAATTATGACTTATTAAAACCTATAGTATTCTTAAAAAATTGCTTTTTCTTTTTAATATTTCATAAGTTTATGTCAGATGATGTGTAGATGTAAATATTTAAAAACCATAATAATACTTTCCATTTACCTGGAGTGGTTATCAAAAATTTACACGCTCAGCTTTTGTTTTAAGCATCTGTTTGTTAAGTAATATTATCTGTCCCTAATCAGTTGTTGCTGACAGATTTATATCTCTACTTAACCATTTTATAATTGAGAGAAGATATGAAATTTTCACTATGAGGGCATGGATTCAAGACTGATATGGGGTGAATATCAACAATAAAACTATACAATAAGTGCTAGATAAAACTTCCTGTACAGGTCCAAGAACAGTATCTTAGGAAAAATTAAATAAATTTGATGTTCATAGTACGAAGAAGTGAAAATTTGTAGTAATACCAAATAATCAAAGCTTGTATATAGACAAGATCCATGTTTACATTAAATAACAAAAAAACATTACAAGTAGTATCAACAGGTCAAATTTAAAAGAAAGTACGATTTGAGAGTACTCGCAGTTACTGACAGCTAGTTAAAAGCCAAAACAATTAATAATAAAAAATCATGCATCAGAGACTAAAATCAACTAAAATACATCCCAGGGATTTAGTATTTTAACTTAATGAACAGTCAAAGAGGACATGACTTGTGCAATGCCAAAAATAAATGTATCGACAGGTAGTAGGATAGTTAGGAGTGACTTTTTTATAGATAAAAATGAACGTGTGTCTGTCTCTTTACATCATTGAAAAGAAAATACAAATTTAGTTATGTTTTAATTTGCTAATGACAAAATCGATATTAGTGCCAATGTAAACTATATTCAGAGATCTAATTACAACATTGGTACGATAACCCTTACTTATAAGTTTGTTTAAATGTTCAATGAGTTTACACGGTTCACATAATGATGTCCGCGCTTTAAGTACAATATAACCATAAAATTAAGGATGTGAAATACCATTTTTAATAAGTTTTCTACAGGTACAACCAAATTTACTAATCACATATTTGTATCTATGAAAGAATTTAGTAAATGTTTTAAGTAATTTATGGTAACGAAATCCCTGACTTAATAATTTACCAGTGATGCATTGATTACGTTCGTTAAAATCTATGACATCACTACACACACGGGCATACCGAACGAGTTGGAATATATAAACACCGTATGATGGAGCCAAAGGCACATCGCCGTCTAAAAAAGGAAAGTTAACAATAGGGAATGAAAAATCGTCTCTTTTGTCGTAAATTTTAATATAACTACATTTCAATAACTTTTTTAATGCAATGTTACAACTCTCGTGAAACTCTTTTACAATGTTACAACTCTCGTGAAACTCTTTAACAATGTAACAACTCTCGTGAAACTCTTTTACAATGTTACAACTCTCGTAAAGCTCTTTTACAATGTTACAACTATCGTGAACCTTTTTTACAATGTAACAACTCTCGTGAAACTTTAACAATGTAACAAATCGCTCGAATACATTTCTACAGTGTCCTGAAAACAGCGCAACAGTGTCATTAAAACATCGTGACAACTCTCCTGAATACATTTTTACAGTGTCCTGAAAACAGCGCAACAGTGTCCTGAATACAGTGTGACAACTCTCCTGAATACAGTGCGGCAATTCTCTTAAATACATTGCGATAACTCTCTTGAATTCATTGTGAATTGCAACAACTCTCTTCAATACATCGCAACAATTCTCTTAAAATCATAGCTAAAATTTACTAATAGAACAATTCTACAAAGTGTTTTGCTACAACTCTCTTTAAAATCAATTAAGAAAACTGTGTATGTTGTGCTTTGAATTTCTCTTAAGAAAAATTATCCGACAGCTTCTATCTTCGGCAGATTCAGTAATCATATCAAATTTTCCTTTTTGTATACCTTTCTATAATCTGAGTATTTAGATGACAAAGGGTAAACTAATCTGATCATATACATTATAATGATAAATATAGTGTAAAATTGCAGATCAACCAATACACAACTCTCACATTATAGCCACAGAGGTTCTGGAATGTCTAGCCCTTGGAGCCTTCCTAGCAGCTGTGACTTTTGCTTTCCTTAAGATGTTTGTATTGACAGAACAAGGGATATTATTTGTTCTTACAGGATTGCTCAACTTGATGGCAGGTAAATAACTACAAATATATCAAATTTGATATGATAAATATTTAGTCTTTGAAACTTCGGGAAAACAAACGTCAAAAAAATAGTCACACAAAGCCACTTCCGTGTATTTGAGAAAAATATTTACTACAATCTAAAAAAAAGCTGAAAGCCTCATGTTCATCATATAAACATGAGATGTGGTATGATTGCAAATGAGACAACTATCCACGAGAGTTAAAATGTAGTGGTAGTATTTTAAAGCAATTATAGGTCACCGTCCGGCCTTCAGCAATGAGAAAACCCCATACCATATAGTCGACTATAAAAGGCCCCGACATAAACAATTTGAAACAGTTCAAACGCGCGCGAGAAAAACTAACGGCTTAATTTATAATAAAAATCATTTACGAAAAATAAATACGACAGACATGAACCAACTACAACCATTGTACTACAAGGCGAAAGATAACAAAGAGTACAGGCCCCTGACTTGGGGCAGACACATACAGAATGTGTCGGATTTAAACATGCTTTAGAGCGCTTTGAATCCTTGCCTAATTTGGGACAGTGGTGTGACAACACAAAATAAGAACAAACTGTAAAAATCAGTTGCAATTGACTTAACTCAAAAGATCAAAAAGCAAAAGATAACAAAGGGATAATCAAACTCATAAGTCGAAAACAAACTAACAATGTCATGGCAAAAACGGAAAAACGACCAAAAGACTAACAATAGTATACATAACACAGCATAGAATACTAAAGACTGAACAACACAAATCCCAAAAAAACCCGGAGCGATCTTAGGTGCTCCAGAAGGGGAACCATATCCTGCTGTTCATTAAGTAATAATAATATTGATCTAAATGTTTTAGCAATCATTATTAATTTATACTGATGTTGGGAATAAACAGATGAACAGTCATCACATTTACGACTTAAAACGCAAAATATAAATACAAATACGCATTAAAAATGGTGTCGTTTTTACCAAACCTCCGTTAAATGCAACTAGGATATGGGAATGATATTGTGCGCCCGTTTTTATCATTGATCTCATGTCAGAGATTTATATCGATGCTGATCGGATATTTTGTCCGGTATTTGTTGTTCCTTTGAAATGTAAATAATATGGAAAACTTGCTCACTCCTAAATTTTTTTATATCAGATTATGTCTGGTGATATATGTTCTTTGCAAACGCTCATGTCAAAATAAATGATGTATTTCGATTGGGACCATCAGTTCTCTATAGCAATCAATATATTATGACATATGTTAATTAGTTGAACATCTTTTTTCTTACAGGAGTATTTGCCTTGATCGGAGTCATTGTCTTCGCCACAACGTCAAACGGTTGGTTTACGTTGGATACTTCTAACTTGCACTACTCCTTTGGGTTATGTATTGTTGGTGGAATCGGAGGAGTTTTCTCTGGTATTGTGTTCATCCTGGCATGGCGGTGGGTTAGAAACTAAGGAAAGCTACAAGATTGGTGAATTTTTTACAGACACGTGGTCCTTCTGAAAATGAACGAAAGAGTCTTTAACTTTAAACCTTTTGTTGTTTTGTTTTATTATTTTTGTAGCATATTATTCTTTTCATTTTGTATTAGTCTTAAGTGGTTATGCTTGTCATTGTAAAACAGATCAATTGTTAAATATCTCTTATGGAGTACCGTATAGAAAATTGAAGCGTCAACATTAGACGTATGATTAAAACAATGAAAAAAAATTAAAGGAAGACCGAAAGCTATTTGTTGTAAAACCGAAAGCAAAAGTCACCTGAATGGCTAAATCATGCGAGGTGTACAAGTACAGTACAAACAATGCATGTGTAAAGTTTTTTTAAAACCTTGGCCATCCGTTTACTTTTTTACTAAAACCACAAACTCAAATTTAAAGAAGTGGCAAACAGAAAGAAGAAATAAAATGGTTACATTAGAAACCCTATGTATTGAAATAAAAATGAATTCTAAATGAGTTAGTTTCATAACATAAAAGAGTGATTTGATAAAGTTATAACTTCCTCCTGTATATTATACAAAATAAAGGTAAACAAGTACGTAATTCTGTCATCTTATCTGACTCAACAAAATAGAATTCATGTGAACATTAATTTTCTCTTTTTATAAACTTTGATATATCGCACCATTTATTCCCAGGAATACCTGTTTAGTTCAACACTAGACAGACGGGTTCGCAATCGGCAATACTCGGAGAATCTGCAACATACGGAATCGACCGAGTTTTGACGAGCGACCAGTAATATGAAAAGACTTGTTGACAATAGTAGACTCTGTTGTTCATACTAACATCGTATTCCATTGTTTGGGATATAATCAGTCACTGTCGTTATTGAGAGCTTCATTCTGCAATACTTGTTTTTCTGTATATTCAATTTATTTTTACTTAACTGTTTGTGTGGCGTTGAACACCTTACGCTCTCGATAACCTGTGTAAATATTATATTTGATATCATTCTACCTAGCCGTTCTTTGGAGCATCGGATTCAGTTGTGCCTAACCAGCACAATGATAAACCCATAATTTCTTTCGTTTAACCAATGATTTAGTAAAAGGTAACAAAATAATCCGAGCATTGTTGGACATTGGTAAAGAAATAAAACAAATACATCGTTTTACATTAGAGCTGAGAAATATCTTATAGTTTGGAATAAACTTGAGATAGACTACAGTATATCGTGTTGTATTTTTGTTTAACATTTTAAAAATTTTAACAATACATAATTATAACAATTGTATTTATCAATTTTAATATGCAAGTATCGCGTATCTAATATTTTTGTTTTTTACTATGTAAAGTTTCAAAAAAGAATGCTACATCATCATATATAAGATGATAAAACAGCATATCATTTATTGTATATATGCCAAACTTGGTGTTATACCTGTAGAATTAATATGTTATGTTTGTTTTGTAACTCAATATGAAATATCCATTGCTTTTGTTATTATTTTTCAGTAAAACGTTTTGATATATTTCGAGTTTATCTTTTATTATTGCCGGTATCTAGTAACAGTAATAATACTTTTAATTACAAAGAGTGATAGTGACGTAATACAATATATATGGGGTATTTCTCAATTGAATTGTTTCATATTTTTCATGTCGGGGGCCTTTTATACTATACGGTATTGGGATTTTTCTCATTGTTGAAGGCCGTGCGGTTGCCTATTGTTGCTTACATCCACTTTATTTAAACTTTGGTGGATAATTGTCTCATTGGCAATCAAACCACATTTACTTATTTTTATATACGGAATTTACAGTTCCCGTAGATATCGTATCAGTTCACTAGCAAACTGTGTTACGAATGCATCTGACCGAATGTTTTATGGGAATTAAGGCGTATTTTAAAAAAAAGAACTAATGTTTTTCAGTTGTCGTTATTGTGATCAATATGATTCATTACAGCAATATTTGTAATCAGGTGATCAAGTCTTCAATATCAAGAACCTTCTTGCACTGATTTATATATAAAAAAAACCAAATGCCAACGACAATTGGATTGGAGTCGAGTGCACCTGCCACGTGCGGGATTTGAACTCCCATTAAAGCAATATTTGTTATCAGGTGACTAAGTCTTCAATATCAAGAACCTTCTTGCACTGGCATATATATATATATATATAAAAAAAACAAATGCCAACTCAATATCAAGAACCTTCTTGCACTGGTTTATATATATTTATTAAAAAAAAAAATGCCAACAACAATAAATCTATATCAAAGAACCTTGATATCACAATTTAAACAACCTTAACCACACGGGTAGTAACATCGTCATATCAAAGAGCGTGTAGTACAGTGATTTTGTCATAGTTTGTTTCAGTTGGTCATCATTTGGTTCTGTGTGTTTAAATATGAAACAATGACAAAATGTAAACATTGGTTGTTTTTTTTTTCATAAAGTGAAGCTATGTAGTTTCATTATTTTGCCAGGTTAAAAGCTTTGTAGATATGAGAAGATGTGATATGAGTGCCAATGAGACAAATCTCCCTCCAAGTCACATTTTGTAAAAGTAAACCATTATATGCAGACATATCTTATTTGTAAATGCAAAATTTGTATCATATAGGTGATAATATGAAACATACAACGCTTGCGTACAACAGTTTTTAAATTTTGGTAGTTTTTTTTCACACATAAGAAAATTTTTGTTTCTGTGGGTACCAACACACACTTTGTTATAAATTACAACTGTTTTTAAATCTTCTGAAAAAAATTGCCGCTTATGCAAATAATTCTATATGCATGAAATAATTTCAGCCTATAATGTTTTTGAAAATACATGTAGAAAGATAACAGATTCAATGATATGGTTTTCACTTGGAATATGTCAAAGTCTCAAAAGTGGAACTCTAGTAGTAGCATAATGATGATAAGCAGCCACTTGAGAGTGGTGCAGGTGGATAAATTTTGGTTAGTGAAAAGGGTATGTTTGAGGGTGGCGTCCATTTTGTCCCCACGTCACAGAATGTTGGGTTGTTAACCACTTTTGCCTCGCTTGGTTAAATCGGTATTTGACCAAGGTCAGTTAGTACGAGAGAGAGTTGGTTGGTGACAGGAGTATGTTTGAGGGTGGTGTCCATTTTGTCTCCACGTCACATACTACAGAAACTTGAGAAAAGAGATTAAACAAAGATTGAAGAACATAATTTATTTTTAATATCAAAAACTTATATACATTATATATATACAGAACATTCAAAGTAGAACACCATTATATTGCAAAAATAGATTGAGTATTTTAACATATAGTCAAAAAATATTTTGATATATGAGAAAAGTATATAAACAAAACTTATAGTAAAACCTGTATTTGAGCATACAACCCTGAATTTGTTTCTAATATAAAATTTTACAAAGCTTCTTCAATAAAAACAAATAGTTTTTTTTTATTAACAAAATAGATTTCTATAAAGATACATGTCAAAAGATTACACAATATGTACTTTCTTTCCAAAATTTATCTTAGGGAGATCTATTGGAATATACATGATAAAAAAAGTCTTTTTTTCCCCAAACCATCATTGTAAATGAATAGAAAAGTTGAAGAAATGTAAGTATAACATCTGTATTTTATAACATCATGTCATCATAACTACAGAAACTATTTAGTTATACAATGTAAACAAAACACCACATCATCATGTTTGCACTGTGAAGCAAGTATGTTTCATCAAATCCATAAAGCAGTTTAAAATGAATATGCATACAAGGACTTGGGTGAATGAAATAAAAAAGCACATTTATTCCACGTCTCAATATTCCATAAAAAAAAAGAAAAAACATTTATGTAAAATTTATGTGTTTCATTTTCACCACTACCTGGTTGCTGACAAGGATATGCAGATTGCAATTAAATAGTATTCAAGTGTTGAAATTAACCAACTTCTTTAGGAGATGAAAAATGGCGTGTGTCTTGACTTTATATGTATTTGACTGAAGTCAGTTAGTACGAGATACGGTTGGGTGGTGACAAAGGTATGCATGAAACTCCTCAGTAGATAGAACAGTCATTTTTTTTGTTAATACGTTGTCTCATGCACATTTATTCCACATCCCAGTATTTTCCATTAAAACACTTCACATAACTTCTCTTTATCTTTAAAGAATGACTATATTTCAAGCTTCCAGTCGTTCTGAGATTTTGTTTTTTCTTGTTTTGTTGAAAATCTCATTGACAATTATTCCACCTCTCAGTATTTTCCATATAATAATAACTAGAAATAACATATATAAACTTTATTATACATTTTCAGCACCACCATGTCAGTAAAGTTACAGAATATCAACGGTAATATAGTATATTTAAAACTAATATCAGAATACTACAAAAAGTCCACCTAAACATGAAACACCAAATATTTTTGAAAATTATATCTTGAGTTTAACACAATATTGCATTTTTGAGCACAAACAAAGCACCAAATTTTACAAAATTAGGTTTAGTAGTAATAAAATATGTCACTTTGTTCCAAAACACAATAAAAAGTAAAACAACAAAAATACTGAACTCCAAGGAAAATTCAAAACGGAAAGTCCCTTAACAATTGGCAAAATCAAAAGCTCAAACACATAAAACGAATGGAAAACAACAAGTCCACAAGACTTATGTTTGTATTCATAAATAAACCAAGTCTGAGTCATTGGCATTGCAATTAAGGTTCTTAACTTAATAAAAATTTGATGTAAAATCAGTATGATAGTAAAACGAAAGAGACAAATATAAACTATATGCATAATCTACACAAGTTTTATAATTTGATGTCCTCATTGAATGCCTAAGTATCTAAGATACGCTTTACATTATTTATGAGATTAATGTTTATATCAAATACATGTCAACTGGAAAATGTATTTCCTTATACCTGTTTTATCTTAACCAAGTTTCAACACAAGTTAAATAAACTTCAAAACCACAGAGTAATGCTTTCATGCAATTCAAATAATTTCAGCTTTATTTTTTTAACCACCAATAAGATTTAGCTTACGATTTATACTTGTGCTAATTAATCTCATTTCGACATGCAGATGATATATTCCAATCATTACTTTCATCAAGTCTCATATCACACCTCGCAAGACTTTAAATACCATTTCTAATACTTAGTATATGTCATACGTAATGTAATATCATAGTAATCAAAACTAATAAATCTCATCAAACTCCATTATTTCACAAGGTTTTGAATCATAATCTCTTCAACGTTAACCATTGTTCTATATTTCTTTAGGTAATGACTACAAGTTATTGATATTCACTGAGGCCAACGGCCGAGGTGAATATCAGTTTTTCAAAAGTCAATTAAACCATATATTTCCCGAAACAAAAGACACTGTAATTGTTTTATTCCATATAAACATTTGTGGTGTTACATCTTGTCTAAGTCTATCCAAATTACTTTTGCAAATAATTCCGCTCAATCTGGTGCTAGGAGCCGTGTTAAAATTGCAGTGAGGTGAGAGTTTTTTGCTCCGTGTTGAAGGCCTCACTGTGATTTTGAGATGAAGAATAGCAATAAAAGCGCTGTTCCTTTGCTTTTGTGTGTTTTTTTTTGCTGTGCATGTACTGATTTTCTATCATTGATGGATACCCCATGTCCTTTGTTTTTTTCTATAGTTATACATTTGATAATATACATATACCAGCACGCCTTTCATAGACTTATAAAGTCTTATTGAACAAGGAGTGCGAGGTGATATGTGAGGAAATAGGGTATATGCTGACATAATTTATGTAACAATATATTAGGGCTGAGGAGTAAAACAAGGTACAGGAAGAAAACCGAACTGCTACGGAGATCAACGGACCTGCATTAGTAACTCGCACATTTCAAATTGGTTAAAGTGTTCAGTGTTGATTTGTCAGTTTTTGTCATTGTGTGTTTTTCTTGACCACAACCTTGTCTTTGTCCCTTAATTTTCTTATGACTTCATTTTTCTATTTTGTTCCTATACTTCTTCCTTATTATCATATATTTCACTCTTACTTCTAAAACAAGGTCTCTATGCTTCATCTTCTAACTTCTCATCCCAATCTAAAACACTTCCTTCTCATATACCTCATCACACGCTTCGTCTCAGTATGGTCAACTTCGCTATTTGTTTCAACGGAGTCATGTGAGTCTTCCTTGTTGTTTACTGGTAATGTAACATTTTTTTTCATTTCCATTCTTTCACTTGTAATGATCAGTTGTGAAGTTTGCAAGAAGAAATTTTCACGAAGTGATAATTTGAATCGTCATATACGTTCCATGCACAAAATGTTAGATACAATACCAGTAAACAACGAGGAAGACTCACATGACTCCGTTGACACAAATAGCGAAGTTGAAGATACTGAGACCTCGGAAACCGATAGCGTTTATTCCGATGCTTCTAGTAGCTCTTTGGGTGAAACTGACGATGAAGAAGCATCAGAAGATGAATCAAGTGACCCATGGAATAATATCTTCTGGCGTGTTTAGTGTT